TGTAGTCCACAGCGCCCTGCCATGACTGTCAGTCGACTTCATACACGGGGTTGGCTGACGATCACAAGTAGGAGGACAGTGGAGGGATCAGAGATAGCGGTGGAGTCTCTGGTCCACTGGACAGTGGTGGCTGGTCCACCCTCACTGCGACACGTCAGGACAAACTCTGGCTCTTCATTCACTTCACTCAACAGCTCAGTGAAGGACACAACTGCTGACGCCAGTTGACCTGCGCACACACAACACATTTGTACACACAGCATGCAACCTGTTGTACTAGTTGTACGAAGGAAACATCTGCTTTAGCTGTTCTCATGCCACAATATCAACACAGGCACTGTCCTCCTTCCCCCTCTTCCCTCTCTCAGCAATTGATTCACTCTTAGAAACCTTTGATTATTCAGTGTATGAAACCTTCGATTTAGTCAGTGAAATGCTTTCCCTCTCTCCCTGTCCCTCACTCTTACCAGTACTCTGATTTCCAAGGTAGATGAACATCATTTCAGGAGTTCCACCAGAGCCTGGGATCTCACATTCATACATTCCAGACAGCTGCTCCTGGCCATTTGACACAGCCAGTCTGTTGAGGTCGATGGTTCCTCCTGCAGTCCTAGTCACGTAGAACGGAATAGTTCCTGCAGGTCCCTCCTGAATGGCCACCTCAGCTGGGTCCGTCCACCCTCCATCACTCCCCACACAGCAGGGACTGTGGTTTGTGACACACTCGAGCTTATCAGCCACACTGACAATCCCCCTGTCGATGAACGAGTTGTTTTGAAAAGTTACTCCATTGTGACGTAAAAATGGGTAAGTCTGGCTGTGCACGATGTGCAGACAGGCTAGGAGACACACTAGCAACACCCTCATCCTGCCAGCTCCCTGTACAGGGTGATATAATCATAATTTTTTCAGCAGATATTGGCAATATGCTGCACGCATGTGCATAAAAACGGCTATAATTGTAGCTAAATGGTACAGGGGCAAACAGTAAGAGACAGGTGTGGAAGGTGTGCCACAGTAGTCATGGGAGAGACCTCCACTCACTATCACACAGACCATTCCTCCCCGACCCATGTGCATAGTCTGTCACACTACATATGCCTCTAAAAGGAAAGGATCATGTCAGCAGTTGTGCAGTAGCTCCAAACATGACTCAGTGAAATAAATTTGGTTGGTGGATGTCAGGCCATTGACCTCTGGTGCTGACAGTTCATCTCTTATTTTTAGGGGATGGGAGAAGCTCCAAATAGAACATTACTGGGTGTGTCCCGTGTCCCACTACATTCTTCCAGCCCACATTGAAACATTTTGGTTAGGTGGTATAAACCTGCGCGACCATACCAAAACCAAAACCTCTTACTGGAGACAGAATTGGCGAGCGGGAGCTAGCCAACCTAGTCGTTCGGAATTAATTTTCGCCCACGTACGTCGTGTAAGTGCGCATGCGTGGCTTCGTTACGCGCTTCTTTTTATCCGAAATCATTTCCAAATTTTTCACACGCTGCCTCGCGAAATTCTCCTCTCCATTCGACGGCATGCGCTGCAAACTTCGGTGACTGACCGAGGCTGTAGCTCTTCCCAATCTTCATGGTTCGAAGGTGCAAATTGGAAATAAGCTAGGATTGCCTATGCTGATACTGCTGCATGCCAGCTGCCTGGTGGACCTTACGACTGACGAGCTGAAAAATACCGTTCTGCTCCTGCTCACCGTTCTGCCAATGTACAGTACGCATGTAACGGCGACAGGTAGATCTGTCTTGCTTCACGAAAGGAAAGCTGTGCGCTGACGGCACGTTATGCAGCCCGAACATCGCGGGCAAACCCCAAGTTGGGTCGCTCCCGCTCGCCAGCAATGTTCAACATTTCCACTATAATTTATAGTCAAAGTGACAATCAGAAAGCCGCCACAGACTTTGAGCCTGCTGTTGAGCCCCATCATACCGCCGTCTTCTAACTGAGACATGTGTCTATATTTCACTTCGTACCATACTACGCAGCGCCTGGCACTACTAACTCACCGAAACAGAAAAGCGCTGCTACAGCTCCGTAGTAAACGACTTTCTCCGCTGGACGCAGCTCACAGAACTTCCGAAAAAAACCGTCCCCTCGCTTTATTGTATCACCGGACACCCCCTGTGCACCAATATGTATTAGAATAACAGCGGTTAAACGTGTATATAGTCCGCGGATAAAATATCTGCTAAGCGCTTCTTGCGCAACGCTGGAACAACTTAGCTGCGGTGCGTAACACGGATTGGTAATAAAATGTGCGCACGCGAGTATATAATACGTATATACAAGTGCGTGCAAGCTGGCGGCTGTGATGTTCCTCAGGACTCTGCTGAGGGCTAGGGCTAGGGCTAGTTCCTCAGGACTCTGCTGATGGAAAGAACAAGATAATTAATATCAGCTATGTCAAAGAGCTTCGCCATTAGCTCGACCGGCTTCAATGGAGGTCAGTGCTCCCGCAGGAGCGAGAGCGGACTTTAGAGCTTCCATTCGCTCCTTGAACGCTGCCATCGTGTCAGTGTTGCCAAACGTTACCTGGATAGTCAAACGTGGGCCGCCGGCCCTCGGTTTCTTGGCCGCTGGAGGCAGACATTCATGTGCGAGTATCGCAAGAAGCGCGGCTGTGATGTTCCTCAGGACTCTGCTGAGGGCTAGGGCTAGGGCTAGTTCCTCAGGACTCTGCTGATGGAAAGAACAAGATAATTAATATCAGCTATGTCAAAGAGCTTCGCCATTAGCTCGACCGGCTTCAATGGAGGTCAGTGCTCCCGCAGGAGCGAGAGCGGACTTTAGAGCTTCCATTCGCTCCTTGAACGCTGCCATCGTGTCAGTGTTGCCAAACGTTAGCTGGATAGTCAAACGTGGGCCGCCGGCCCTCGGTTTCTTGGCCGCTGGAGGCAGACATTCATGTGCGAGTATCGCAAGAAGCGCGGTTCAGCGCATTCATGAGCAAGTAGCGCAAGAAGCGCTGATTCAGCATTGAGAGGCACAAACGCAGCGTGTTTTAGTGCGCGGAAACGGGTGCGTGGTAGCCAGCGGCTCAGGAAATGAAGAGACAGTAGTTTGAACACCGCCATTTTGTCACGGTGTGCGCTAAAGTTAATCGATTTTTGCCTGGCACGCCCCTTTTTATACGCGGACTACACGTTTAACAGCGGTTAACACGCCCTAGGCCCTTGCCATAACAAATTGTAGTCCAACTTCAAATATACGCTGTATTCTGAGCTGTGGGCTGCGGGCTGCACTGGTATCAGTATTGGACAGGAAGTCCTTATCACAACATCTAGCACTGGGCGTAGTGCAAATTGTCTGGCTTCCAAAGTTTACACAACAGTCAGTAGTAATTAGTGCAAGATGACGCAGCAGAAATTCAGCATTGTGATTGGCTAGTTGGACTACAAATCAGTTAACGTCAGGCGTCTTGGCGCGTACAGGAAATCCTCCTCGGCTGTTAACTATACCGCGCCTCGGGCTACGCCCTCGTCCGGTATAGTCAACAGCCTCGGAGTATCTCCTGTACCGCCTCGCCGCCTATACGTTAACTAATACCTAACCGTTGCCCCAAGTGCGCGTGCGCATGCATGCATCTATAGAGCTCAGTGTAATACCAAACATAATTATACAGTTTTATTTTGATGTCAGACTTCAAGACTTCAATCAGACTGTGACAACTGCAATAGAGAAAGGAGAACAATAAGTGAGATCAGTGTATATAATATACAAGGAGATAAGTTGTCTGTTACCTGAAGAGCCTGTGTCAGGTCATCCAGTAGATCCTGAGTATCCTCCAGACCTACTGACAGACGTATCTGGAACACAGAAGAAGACAAAGATACTCTTATAAATGCAGGACAAAGGTGAAAATGTCCATAAACTTTGTAATGCCAAAATAACATCTTGCAATATACTATATACTGCAAAAAGTTCAGCTTGCTGCACTCTGTGACAGTTAGCATTAATTTTCTATTTGATGCAGTCAGAAATGCTCAAAATACTGCCGCAGTGGATCATACCAGAGAGTCAGAGATTCCCAGTTTCTCTCTGTCCTCAGCTGGGATAGAGGCATGGGTCATCACACTCCTGCAGCAGAAGAAGAAAAGTAGCGCAGACACTAATTAATAGTAGTAGGAAAATTGAACGGGAAAACTCTAGCCACCATCCGTGGGATTTTGCCTTTGGCTATATAACAATTCACAAAGTTTTTGACAAAAATTCTAAAGCGAAAAAGTTCTATCCCTCCCACGTTACGCAGTAGATGGAGTTGGGTTATCTTACGGTAGATCAGCCAGGCTCTCATATCCACCAAGACTCTCTGCCAGAACAAACACCTGCACAGGAGACAAATAGTGTACAGTGGAGGAGTTTTCCTTTCATCGTGAATTACTGCAGATGCACAAAAACCAAGTATCTTCACTGCATTTTATGTACATCTCTACTTAGTTTCAGCAAAACAAGATGCTGCAGCTATATAATAGTAATTGGCAGCCATAGCACTAGGGAGATAGACCATGCACCAGAGCAATGGTGGAATCAACTGCAGCTATATACACAGTAGCTAACTTGTGATTCCTCTCTTTTCAAAGTTGAGAGATGAAAAGGGTGGTATGTTTGTACTGATTATTAATTAACTTACATTTACCTGCTTTATGAAGCATTAGATTCTAAGGCAACACAAATAATAAAAGGCACTATGGGTCAGTGCCCTAGCTATTTGCATAATGTGACTGCAGCTGATGAGCATGCCTCAGCTCCATCATTCAAGTCAGCTGAGGAGACAAACAGGGATCCCACCAGTACTGGGAAGGAATTCCAGCCTGGTTCCTGGAATCCCTGATATTTTGACTCCGTCCAACTCATAGCTACCCACAACAGAGGAAAATTTGCCCAACATAATCTTCTAGAATTTCTCTAAATCTACTCATATTGAACCATCAAGTTTCACAAAGTTTCTTCACATTGCAAAGTTAGGCAACAATGATAGAAAATATCACCACAGCGCTGAAGGTGCTAAGCAGTGGTGACCCGCTGTTTCCGATGCTCAGGGTGTAGCGGCAGAGAATACCAGGTCTATATCTGGACGCCAGATGAACTTAGATTCACCCCAATCAATGTTACTGGGACAGGTTAGATTATTCCCATTTTCGTCTAGCTCAGGACTGATGATAGTGTTGGGGTCTTCAGCGCAGCCTTGCGGGAAAACGGGCCAGACGAATGGGCGCACGTAATCATCGTCCCACTCCGTGGCGTACTCCCATCCACTGTCGTCGAAATCAGCGGTCATCCAACCTTCAGGGACAGGCGTTATGCGTGAAAAGCAGCCCGTTTTTAGTCCGTCATCTTCGCTAACGTTGAAAAAGCAGCCGGGGATAACTTTCAGTTCCGACGCTCTGTCGGCGGCCGCGAAACATGCCTTCCAGTTGACGGGACCGTAATGCCACGTTCTGCACTTCCACGAGGAGTTGGTGACGACGCCGTTACTGAAAAGGGCGCGGAGTCCTCCTGCGCCGAGACAGCGGTCGTTCAGCTCTAGTCCCGTCACATCGTCGGCGAAGTCGTGGGCCTCAACTGCGAGAGTAACGTCTGTGCCTGCGGGAACCTCGAAAGAGACGTTGAAGGCGTTGTGTGGTGCGAGAGGGACGGGGTCTGCGGCTACCAACTTTCCGTTCACGTAGAAAGAGGCGTTGTTGTTTGCGTAGATGGTCCTTGTAACGGTCTCCGCCTCGGCCGATGTCGCGAGGCGGAGAATGACGAGAGCCAGGACTGGCAGATACTGGAGTTTCCGCATCTTGCTAGCTTGCTGTCAACCGAAAGAGAGTGAGTATGTTTGCCAGTTTTGCAGTAGAATGCGCATGCGCACAATAGCGTGAGGCATTTTTGTTGTGACACCTCCATCACACCTGATCAGGCATCCATTCTTCTGAATAGCACTGGTATAATGCCGAAGTTTCCCACAAGTATTTAAATAGCTAGACATCACTGTATGCTTTGGCAGGACATATGAAAAGAGCCGATGCCCAGGTTGATACAAAACAGGTGGGATTCAGATGTTCAACAGTTCATTGATTGTGAAAATCAGGTGACACCTACCAAACTTTAGTCTGACAATGTAGATTACTTGCACATTCAAGTTATTGACTGAGCTTCCAACTAGCTAGCTACCATGGAGTTAGCTACATACATACGTATTATAAACTGGTGCTTAAATCTCGAAATATCCAGTGCGTGAGAAAAGCAGTTTAGAGGTGATTCTGCTGTCTTGTTATACCTTGGACAGGGCCAAAAACTTCACACTTTCATGTACCTTGGGCAAAGCTAAGTTTTACACTTGCATGTGACTTTCGAGACAGTGAGAGGCTAGTATATACATAGATGGTGGGTGCTTCTACAGACCACAATGTAGGGATGTCACGTCATGAAAACAAAGATGCCTACACCAAGACAGAAGATCATTCATAACCCATCCCTACATTTTTGTTTCTTGCAAGAAAGCAATCTCTGTCATCCTCACGCACTTATAAAATCCACATAACATCTTTGTTACACACATAGTTATCAGTATAGCTTTTACATTCCTTTGTTTTTCATGATGTGACATCCCTACATCCTCCATTATAATTATTTTCCCACCTGCTGTTCCACTAGTATTATTCATTTCATAGTATAATTTAACTGCAGCCGAGGAGCATGCCTCAGTGCTATCATTAAAGTGTTTACAGTGGTTCTGTGGCTGTATATATCTAATTAAGCTGTAGATGGCTGTGCACCTGTGTTAACGTTTCTTGGATTATGGGTTAATTATCATAGGTTGGATCGTCCACTGTGCCCCTCTGTGTAATGTAGGCTGGATTATCCTGTGTACCAATGTGAATAGCATAAGACGGATTCTCCTCTGTCGGAATGGAAGTAGGGCTGATTTGGCTGCCAGGCAGATGTCGGGATGCAGAAATATTGGTCAATTCCATTGCAACAATCGGAGGAAAGTCAGGTATAGTCCTAAAATAAAAACTTGTGAATTTTATTGAGAATAATTGATACAACTTACTCATAGACAGAGTCAGATTCAACTTTGTAAGATGCTTTTCTGTGGTTCCTTAAACAAAGTACAACTACCAATAGTAATACTACTAACAAAACCAAAAGACTGCCACCTAAGATTCCTCCTATAATGTACCCAATCCTGCTACCATCAACTCTCTCTGGAGGAGTCTCACGATCTGTATCCAAACACTCAGGCTCACTGAAGCTGTCAATCTCAATCTCACAGTCGCTATCAATACTTAGTCTTGATCCGAGAACCACAATAGTAGGCCGAGAGGTCACCCACTGCTCGATGTAGCCTATCAGCTGTGAGGTGTTGGCTTTTGCGATATCCATTATCTCAGCACGAAAGGTAACTGCAGTGGGAGAAGCCTCAAAACACTGAAAACCAGCTGTGACATCAATTTCATTGAATGAGTCACGGGAAAAGTCACACTGACAGAGCTCATTCACTGCTCTTGTTACACCTGTGATCACTGCTTCCTTCTTTTCATTTGGTTGTATCTCCTAGGTTGAAAAAGAGACATTTTGGATATAGCTATATATAAATACAGAATTATAGCTTACTCTCCATTGCAAGCAGTCAGACAAACCCACAAGTCGAAGTTGAAATTGTACCCGCATAATAATAATATGGACAGTGAACGTAGTTGAACTAGATCCAGCCCTGTTGCTGGCAGTGGCAGTGTATTTTCCTCCGTAGGAGACTCCAGTGATGCCAGGTCTGGTCAGTGTGGAGCTAGCACTTGGTGGACTCAGAGCAGTGTTTGATATGGTGACTCCATCCATCAGTGATATGGAGGAATTCTGGGTCCATACTATACTATCCAGCTCCAGATTGAAGTCTGAAAACACTGCCATCAAAACTAGATCATCTCCAACACTGAATGTGAGTGTTGTGTTGTTGCCAGCAGTTGGAGCCACTGTGAAGTAGAGGCAAAGTGTCACATAGCACAGTTCTAGTTAGACACATAGCTAGCAAAGGCTCCACTAGGCTAGTAGAGTCTATTGCCACAGCGATTAGCAGGGAGAGTTGGTTAGCAGAATACCTGCTTGTTCGAGAATCACTTCACTTGTAGCCATCCCCAGATCATTGGTCACTGTACATACATATGTCCCAAACTGATTCTCTTGAATGTCTGCCAGTTCCAAAGTTCCAGTGGTGTTGTCAGAGTTGAGGACAGTTGTACTGCCCTCTATGGTCCACTGGTACACCAGTGGAGTGTCTCCAGTAGCAGTACAGTTGAGAGTGACGTCATCTCCAGCAACCGCTGTCTCAATATTAGCTATACTGACTGACGGTCCAACTGCACAGAATATAAATAGACTATCACCTGTAGTTAACTAATGTTGGAGGTCTCACCTCCTTCCTCTATGGTGATGTTAGCAGAGCCACTGAGGTCTGCCGAGTTGCGTGACAATAAAAGCAAGTGTGGAGGTCCCCAAGTCTGTGTCAGTGATATCAGTCAGAGGTCAGAGTCTCCCCTGTCCTCAGTCAGTGTTGTGTAGCGCCTCAGTGGTTTTTCTCAATGTCCACTCTATGGTGTAGTCAGAGGGTAACGTCCTGAAATGGAGCATGTGATGTTCAGGGACCTGCCCAACAGACACTCGGAACTTGACGGCTGATACTGTCACCTCAGGACGGGTACTGCAAAGGCAACAGTTGTAGCTACATGCAGAAGGCAGAAAACCTTCACAATTTCAGTAAGGATACTACCAGATTGTTTGTCTAATTGGATAATGTTTCTTGCGCATTGCAATTGGTTTCTCCCTTAAAAGCTTCCTCATATCTGCAATGGTCTTATGGCAAATCATGATACTCACCTCGAACTTCAACCACGATGGTATCGGTGATATTTGTGGTGTCATTGGTGCGAGGAGCAGGTGTAGGTACCACTGTGTGTGGGATACTGAGCAGCAGAATGTGTGAGTGTGGACGTGGTATTGCCTCTGTGAAGGAGAAGGTCCCTGCACTAGGAACATTGGCCGTCATGGTCCTCAACAGAGTCAGTTGTGTGAAGGAAGTGGAGCTGCCACCAAATGACACGTGATGTTGGAGGGGGAGAGGGTTGGCTTTTGCTATACAGGAATGTCCAGTCTTCTCCTTCCAGTACAGTGACAGTAGCCGTTATGAGAGCCTCCACCTCAGAGGTACTGGAGCAATACATGACTTAGGTGAGCAGTTTGAATACACTATCAAACTCACCAGATGGGGTTACTGAGAACTCCAGTGTCTGATATACAGAGGTTATGCTGTTCAAAGCATTACCATCAACAAGGTCCACTCTGTATATTCATGGTCTGAGGTGTGGGTTGGGTCCTGTACAAAGGACTTGGAAGAACTCTGAGATCTGGCAGGATTGGCTTGTCTGAACGTGGTATCATCATTGGGGTAGAGCTGCTCGTCATTCTTGTACCAGGCATGGCGGTAGTATCCTCCAGATGACTCCACTTCAATCACCAGCTTCTCAGGAGGATCCAGAATAATGTCTGTTGGAGACACTGCCTCGAGCATAACCTCCGAACTGTTATCTGTACAATGTGCAAGTAAGGTTCAGTCAGTGTTGGGTACAGTATTCGTTACTAACCAGTGTCAAGGCTGAACGGAGTGCTGTACACCAGCTCCCTATCAGAGTCAAAGTCTGAGTACACACACTGATAGACTCCAATGTCTGAAGTCTCAAATGGGAGCAGACGAAGCTGAGATACATATCTAGTCTCATCCGGTGCTGACAGATATCTCAGGTCAATCGTTATCTCTGTTTGACCAGCTGAGTGAACTACCTCCTCTTCATTCCTCAGCCATGTCACTGTCAGTTGGCTAATGTTTGTTGCTTGTGTTTGGTCTCCTGGGATTCCAGCTATACACCTAAGCACTTGACAGCACGAATCTGTAAACTGATTTGGCTCAAAGTCATCTCCTATTGTGAATGATGACCGATTATCACGAACTGTGTCGTAAGACTTCAAAGTGTTGCTCAGTCCAACTGTTTCCAAATCAACTGGATTCCGGAGAGTCTAATTGAGTCATCATCAACAACTGCAGAGAAAAAACACCAACTATTATGTGCCCTTCCAATACTTTTCCACACTGACCTGAGAGACTGAGTGTGGTGCTGGCTAGAGTGTCAGTATCATTGCTGGCCTCACAGTAGTAGTCTCCATTATCTCCACTGTCAAAGTTGTCGACGGTGAGAACTGAAGACACCTCGCTACCACTAGAGCTGCTCCGTATCCTGATGTGAGGAGCATCACTGGCTAGAATGCCGCCATCCTTGAACCAGGTCAGGAGGGGAGCTGAGCTGCTGCTGCTGGCAGTGCAGCGAGCTCTAACAACAGTCCCCAGCTCCACTCCATGGACTCCACCATTGTCCACAAACAACATATCTGGTAGGGCCTGGAGTGTTAGCTGCCCTTGAACCATGGCTGCGGAGGAAGATCTTGCAGTGACAGTGCCATTAGTGCAAGTAATGTGGCTATCTAGTGGACACATATCTTCAGTATTCACAACTATCTATCTGGTCATATTCACAGGATGCAAGTCCATATTTAGTCTATCCCATTTAGATCAGCAGATCCATCTGAGGCATGCTGAACTCAACTACAGGGGGTTAAAACTATGATTATTGTACTAAGAGTCCGCCAGCAGCTTTTATTACACAGTGGATCTGGCTAGCTTGGAACTGTCTGAGCGAATATGCACTGATGAACGACATAGATTCATACAAACTGCCCTTCATGAGCTTCTGTCCTCATGATGGACAACAGAAATGAAGCACTTTTAAAATTATGTGTGTGACAATCAGAAAAGATTGCCGCCACACACTTTGAGCCTGCTGTTGAGCCCCACCATACCGCCGTCTTCTAACTGAGACATGTGTCTATATTTCACTTCGTACCATACTACGCAGCGCCTGGCACTACTAACTCACCGAAACAGAAAAGCGCTGCTACAGCTCCGTAGTAAACGACTTTGCACATCTTTGCTGGACGCAGCTCACAGAACTTCTGAAAAGAGCGTCCCCTCGCTTGTATCACAGCACACCCCCTGTGCACGTAGCTATCGTCCTCAGCGAAAACGGTGGTTAACACGCCCTTGCAATACCGTCAATCCTTGCAGCAAAACAAATCATATCGCTGGGACTCGCTCAATCACTGCCCCAAGTGCGCATGCGTGTGAGTGATATTATAATAATTATAGTAATACCAAACATAATTATAGAGTCTTATTTTTATGTCAGATTTCAGGACTTCAATCAGACTGTGACAACTGCAATAGAGAAAGGAGAACAATAAGTGTATATATACAAGGAGATAAGTATGTCTGTTACCTGAAGAGCCTGTGTCAGATCATCCAGTAGATCCTGAGTATCCTCCAGACCTACTGACAGACGTATCTGGAACACAGAAGAAGACAAAGAGACTCTTATAAATGCAGGACAAAGGTGAAAATGTCCATAAACTTTGTAACGCCAAAATAATATTTTGCAGTATACTATGTACTGCAAAAAGTTCAGCTTTTTGATGCACTCTGTGACAGGTAGCATTAATTTTCTATTTGATGCAGTCAGAAATGCTCAAATACTGCCGCGGTGCATCATACCAGAGAGTCAGAGATTCCCAGTTTCTCTCTGTCCTCAGCTGGGATAGAGGCATGGGTCATCACACTCCTGCAGCAGAAGAAGAACAGTAGACGCAGACACTAGGAAAATTGAAAGGGAAAAGGGGATTTTGCCATTGGCTAGCAATTCACGAAGTTTTTGACACAAAATTCTAAAGCGAAAAAAGTTTATCCCTCCAAAGTTTCGCAGTAGATGGAGTTTTGCTATCTTACGGTAGATCAGCCAGGCTCTCATATCCACCGAGACTCTCTGCCAGAACAAACACCTGCACACACAGGAGACAAACAGTGCACAGTGGAGGAAGTAGTGAGCAATTGTGAACTTCACTTTAATGCACAAAAACCACTCTGCGATACATGTACACCTCTACCTGTGTGAGCTGCTGCAACTATCGGCAGCCATAGAGCAATGAGTGGACCAACCGCAGCTATTTCAAAAGCAACTATTCAAAAGCAAGAGTGCCATATGCAAACTCTTAACTTCCTGGAATACTACTTAACTCAGGGGAAATGGTACACAGTATAAGTCAGATGCTAACCTTGATGGCCTTCATGAACTTCTGGGCCTCCTTCAGTCCTCCCTTGATTCTGAAAGACACCATCCCACCGTATCCCTTACACACCCTCGTGGCCAGCTCATGCTGAGGATGAGAGGGTAGACCTACATGGAGGAAATTGAGTAAGATCCCAATAGCAAGATGGCTACAAGATGGACCCACCAGGATAGATGGTCTCTGTGACGTGGGGTGAGGTGATGAGGAGCTGTGCGACGGCCTTGGCGTTCCTCTCATGCTCTCTCATGCGCAGATGAAGAGTCTTGAGTCCTCTGTTGGCCAGGTAGCAATCGAATGGACTGGGCACCATACCTACAGCTATAATATATACAGAGCATGCTGACACACAGAATAAGATACCATCTGCAGATGTCAATGAGGGCATGCAGAAGCAGAGAAAGATAACATTTAAGTTACTGAGGGCAGTGTTTAGTTGGGTGTCTAACAGCGAGCAGTAATGAGGTAGAAAGGCAAAGCAAAAAGTCGACTATACCCAGGACAGCTCCTTTGAAAAAAAAAGAAGAGCTGCCCTGGGTGGGATTGAAAACCCAGGACATGTACATGCGCTGCTGGCTCTCCCCAATGGGTTTACCTATTCTCCACTACACCTGTAATGGTTATATACATCATGGTGGACCTACCAAACTGTATAAAGCGGAGTCTCTTTTCCAATTCATCATCATTGAGACACAGAACACCCATCAGAACATCAGAGTGACCTGCACACACCCACACAGAGATATAGAGAGTTCATTCCACACCAACTTTATCATTTCTAAGTAGAGGGAATCTACACAGAAGACATGCACAACTCAGTCCTGGGTAGTGGCAGAGAGCTTTCACGAACTCCCCATTATAGTGGTGATGTGGACTATCGGCTACCGAAGAAGCTCTGTTGCGTACGTATTTCATTACCGTTGAGGTATTTGGTGACCGAGTGAAGAACTATGTCAGCTCCCAGTTCCAGCGGTCTCAGGAAGTACGGGAGTCATGAATGTATTGTCCACTACCACTATAATATCCTGTATGTCAGTGGGGAGCATCATTTACACTGATTGCTAAGTCTATTTGCATTCACCTGACCTGAGCCTGGAGGATACTATCAGAGTGAAAAGGTTGCTAGGCTTTCAGGGTTTTAAAAAATGAAGCTATGACAATTTTCGAGGAGTCAAAGAGAGTTTACTTGTGAGGTGAATGAAGAGTGGAGAGTGTTGTACTGTGTGGTACCTTGCTCTTGGATTTGACCAGTTCGACAAGTGCTTTCAGGTCTACCATCCTCAGAAGTGGGTTGGCACAGCTTTCCACCCACACCATCTATGTACAAGTATTGAATACAGGGTTCTCGTTAAAGCGTGGAAGAGCGGTGCAGCACCTCTCTATGAGTTCACACTCCACCGCTCTATTGCACAGCCTGACGCTGTATGCGCATGCGCTGGAATAATATATCCACAAGTACTATGTACGTTTTAACAACTGAACCGGGTGGCCAGTGCCAGCTGTGCTCAAGGAAGTAAGTTGTTAATTTGCCTCAAATTAACCCAGATTCAATCTCTGAGAGTACTTTCCGGGGGGAGCATGCCCCCAGACCCCCCTAGGTGCCGATGGCACCACTCTGTAGGGCCTAGAACACTGCATTGTTACAGTGATTCACATCTACCACTAAGTGACTTAGTTATTTCATTTAGAGTACTCTTGATGTGCCTGCAGTAGACTTGTCTATATGTGAAGCTTGGTATATGTGCATTAGTACTGTGGTCCTTGTCAGGAGATTCAGCAGTCCAGAGTCAGACAGTCAGAGATCGACAGTCTCAGAGATTCAGACGTCCAGGGATCAGACAGTCTCAAGAGAGTCAGACAGTCACACAGTAAAGTTCTTGTGAAGTGCACCATGTATAAAGCTACTGCATGATAAAATGTGCTCTCATGTATAAAGTTCAAAGTGAAGTTTCCCAAGTAGCTACCATCCAAAGGGGCCAGGATTTCCATGCACATGAAGTTCTGTCTCACCTTTGTATTGTCCTTGATAGCAGCTTCCACCTGCGACAGATCAGTGGCATCAATGTAGGAGGAAGTTATACCAAACTTGGACACCACAAGTCTGAACTGCCTATGGGTCCCTGAAAGGAGAAAGAGGGAGTGATTGAGGCAGTAATATCTCAAATTCACTGCATTAATAATTTAAAACATGCCTATACGTACCTCCATATAGGTCTCCCGTGCTGACAATATGGTCCCCACTGTTTAGTATCTGCATGATGGTAGACTGTGCAGCCAGACCAGATGATGCCGCAATGGCTGCAAAGAAGAACGGCAAATCAACAACCTTCCCTAAACACTTGCAAATGGCCATGCAATGGCGGAAGCACAACGTTGAGAACTTACCATACTTGGCTGCTTCAAGTGATGCAATGCAAGTCTCAAACACAGTCCTAGTTGGGTTCCCTCCGCGAGAGTATTCATACTGAAGCTGAACATAAATTAGAAAAGCAGTAACTAACATGTTAGCTACAATCCACTCATAATGGCTGTATGAACCAAACGCCGGCTAGCAAAGCCGCAACACATATCTCTTCCATTTCTCTCCCACCGGCTCTCCAGGGACGTGCTGTTTGAAGGTCGTGGAGAGAGAAATGGGCGGAACTACGGCCAGGCTCTTCCACTGTTCCGGGTCCTGCCCGGCGTGGATCGCCTGGGTCGCGAAGTGGGGGTACGTCTGTGTACTGCTACCGTCGTTCTCCATTGACGGCCTCTTCTGTCGCTTCCTGGCTGGAGAAGACATTACTGGTAACTACGGTAAAGACACAAATCAGCTGACCTTTTATCGTAACGAAATGGCAATGTCAATCCCCCTGCGCATGTCCGACTCCTCTGTCCGGACGTCCCACGCCCACTATCCTGTGGTGCGCGATTATTAGAGTTGCGTCTTTGGTCACTGCTTTGCTTCTTCCCGGTCTGCCCGAGTCGTTACGAAGCTCTGAGATGCCAAAGAAAGGGAAAAAGGGCGTAGAGCAGAGGGTCAAGGGTAATGTCAAGGTAAGAAGCCTCTAACCATGCTGAAAGCTACAGAAGCAACGCACGTGTGAGGTCTTTGGGTTTTAGTCGTACACTGACGGTCTTGCAGGCTGCCAGTAGCGGGCGAATGGCAGATCTCCTGGGAGGAGAGATGACCGCCGGGGTCATAGGGTTCGAGGCGGTGTCTCGGGGGCTGGAGAGAGAGGGAGGTGTGGTGGCGGAGGTATCCCATGGTGCTGGTGCGAGGTTCCAAGTCGTGATGAAACAGCTCGGGAAGAGAGACACCACCACCAAAATAAAGGTGGGAGTTGCAGCAAAATTTTTAGACAAAGTACCTAATAAATCGATGGTTAGAGCCGGAGCATGGGTTTAAGATGGTAGAAATACATGTCTAAAAATCTCGGAACTGGAATATTCAATGTCGTGTACATTGTCAAATGGTTTTGTGTGTGCTTTTTCAGTTCACCAACAGTTTTATGCATGGATGAAAATGTTTATTGTCCATGATAATTATGTTGGGACAGGCTCTAAATGAGTTCTCCAGTCTGTGTGACGAGGAGCCGGCTGAGGCTGTCGTGGCAGTGCTCAATATCTGGAATCTCATGTACAACAAACTCAGCACTGTAAGTCCGGTATCGTCTGCATCGATACGTATTCTTGCATGTTATGATCTGCAAATAGAGCCAGGGATCTGGTGCACACTCACTTCCTGACACAAACCAAGAGTGTTATCTTATGCAACTTACATATGTGTGTGTTGTACAAACAAATTGCTATGCTAACTTAAACCTTTCAGGCCATTGTATTTTTCCGTCACTCCTTCCCTCTCTCTCCTCTCTTTCCCTCTCAACCGCACCAACCGCACAGGACAACGACAATCGTGTGCGAGAGGTCAGTCACAGGGCAATGCAGTCGTGTGTGGGGAAAGTAAAGAGTGCGATGGGTCCTCACCTCCGCTCCATCCTGGGTCCCTGGCTGGCTGGGATGTGTGATCCGTATGCCTCTGCTGCCTCTGCTGCACAGACGGCCTTCTCCACGGTTTTCACTCCCGAGAAACAGATCGACGTGCTCAAATTTGGCTTCAGGGTCATCATCTCTGTGAGCCCCTTAGTGTAATAGTACATACATACATATTACTAGGAATGCGCACGCACATATTTTGCCTCGCGCCAGCCAGCCAATGCGTAAACACTCCGACTGAGGCCGCTCGTGCGCGCGCTCTACTGACTGCGTGCGACTTCCTACGAACTGCGCTCACGGCGGAAGCTAGACTTCCTACGAATGGCGGAAGTAACATTCCTAAGCGTGACTAATTGACATTCTTAAGCGTGACGACACGTACGTACGTACGTACTCATATCGCGAGAATACAACCCGGAGTAGTTGCCTCATGCTAACGCGCTCGGCAATTATGGCAATTTCTTTGTCTGTTTTGTGCTCTTTCTTTAGTTTGTGGAAGATGTTGTTCTGAAACAAACGCAAGACACTTTCAGCGATCCAAAGTAAGTACAAAGATTTTACCTATATATAGCTATAGGACATTTCATACATTTTCATGGAAAAAGTCCAGTCAATTTAATGGAGCACATACGAACTAGTGATAGAACATACTAACTGCAAAGAGTTTTTAAAGCGTGTGTAAGATACCATTTCTACTTGAAGCATTCATAATGTAAACATGAAACGTATACTCTATTCTATATGTATGCGAATGAGACAAGTGTTTTGGTTGGTATGTATAATATAGAGTGGTGGCAGCAGACGAGAGGCTGCAGCGCTACGAGAGAGTTGTGACCATGTGTCTCAACGGACTCAGTCTCGCTCTGAGTCGACTCCAGACTCAGTTCCTGGCAGAGAGGAGAGGAGACTGGGAGAACCTCCTGGCCGAGAAGAGAGCTCTGGAAACTCGCCCGCCACAATAACCCCTACGTGAGGGATAGCTTCAGCGATGTGAAATCGTAATATTGTATTGTAATAGAGTGCTTGCAGTGTTGTGGGTGGGCAGATCTTCTTTTTTCCTTGTAAAAAGGAGCTGTCCTGGGTGTAGTTGATTTGTTTTCTCTGCCTCTGGTGCTGCTGACACATGTAGATAATCAGAGGGCTATCAATTATGCGGGTTGATGGTGAAAAACATTCATGTATATACATAACCTTGATCGCTTCCAAGTTGTGGTTGAGATGCATAATAATACCATCGACCAAAACTTGGAAGTCATCAAGGTTATGCACATGAATGCTTTTCACCATCAACCTGCATAATTGGCGGCATACATGTACTGTAAAAATCACTGTTATTCTGTTCAGATTCGCGCCTCGGTCTACAAGTTGGTGGTGTCGCTGTGCCAGTACTGTGGAGACTTTGTGCCATCTCATGGCCGTCAGTTCTGCCCCCTGGTCCTGTCCAGTCTGGGGGAGAAGGAGCCTGGTGTGGTGGGTCCTCTCTGGGACGCCGTCCTTCTCACCACCAGCCTCTGCCAGGTCAGCAACACTCATGAGATAACTGTTGCTGGAATCCCATCCACCAACAAAAATTTTGTTTTAAGTCCAAAAATATTTTGAGCGAGAAAGACCAAATTTCCAAGAATACAGTACATATCCACATTTGTTTACAAACGCCTCCAGTATTACAATTTTTACGTAGGCGATTCCACACTTTCATCAGTAAAACCGTACTATTGAGAGCCAACGTTTGCTGTACAACTCCGCAGCATTGCTTAATTCTCTAGTTGCCTTGAAATGAAGATATGTTATGGTTCCTGCAGGACTGGAGAGAGCATGTAAATGTGCCTAAGGCGGTGCTGCCAGGTCTGTGGCAGCTGCTGGGCGAGGGAGGCTACGGCTCTGCCAGACAGGTCTACCCCTGTCTCCTCCCTCTCCTTACCAGACTGGTCCAACAGGTTAGTTATGCCAGGTTTGGAGGTGCAACTAAATGCCAACTTTGTTAAAGTCTCATGCAACAAAGTTGCACCTTGCACTTTCAGTATAGTATGTATGTTTAAAAAATTATTAACATCTTGAAAATGTGGTGATTGTATACTGCACTGCACTTGAAATTTACGTATGATGTGCATCCATAATGCTATAGGTCTATCCGTCAGATGTCAACTTTGCCGTATCTTTCATGGATAAGTTGAAAAGCGGGTGAGTAATAAGCATATGCATGCCCTTTGTAGCCTGACTGTACATGATGCAGAAACACACATAATAGCCTATGGCTGCAAAAGCTTATTGCTCTTTTGCTATGATAATGGAAGGTTCATGCGTAATGCACAGTGATGCTGAAATGTGCCACGTATTCGCTAATTCGATTTGGAGTGTTTGTGTGTGTGTGACTCTACAGAGTGGAGGCAGGCAGTGTGCGAGGGTCAGTCTCAGAGAGTGAGGCGGTTCTCCAGACCTGCAGTCAGTGTCTCTGCCACCTCGTGGTGGCTGTGGAGACACACTCTCTCCCTCACGATGAGATACAGCAGTTCTATGAGAAGCTGTTGGGCACGGTGAGCTCAAGAACTGGACCAGTGAGAGCTTAGCTAGAGGTTTAACTTGCTCTACAGTCACCCTATTTCTCACCGTCAGTCCGAACATTTATTTGCACTGCAAACTTCAGCTATAGTCAAAGAATACAGCATAGTTAGTTTGCCTGTACCTATGTACCAGTTGCTTGCTAAAAGTACGAAGGGTTTAGGCCACTTTTTCCACCTGTCAGTCCTAAGTAAGCAGAGTGACATTCTGATGTTGTATTAGGTTGTTGAGCTGGTGAAGTACAGTGTGACTCAGTGCCCCAGGACCCAGGCCAGTATTTTATGTGGCTGGATTGGTAGAATTCTGGATGACCTACTTGAAATCGGGTCATCCCATCCATGGATGGAGCAATATCTGCAGGGATGGCTTCAACCACAACTTACCGAAACCTTGTCATCTCTTCTGAGGCAGAACACAGACAAAGTAAAGATTACCAACACTCCACAACGCAAGAAAAAGCACCTTTATGAAATCACTGCAGTTTTCTAGTGGCTTAGTATTATGTTAGGTTTGAAGTGAATTTTTTCTGCCTCAGAGTTTCCTGGCATAAATTCTTATGGCCAGTATTGATATTGTGTGTAGGCTCACTTTGCCAAGATGGGAGCTCTCCTGAAGTCACTTGGGAACCGCTACTCTAAGCCAGACACTGACCGAAGGGTGACATTTGATCGAGTCACTGTTCCACAGCCAGCAGAACAGGCTCCTCTTATAACCAGTGAAGGTCAGCCATTGCCCAGTAATGTACGGAATAGATGATAGAAGTCTCTCGCTGCAGAAGGTGAAGGAACGGTATTTGAGGCCGGAGAAAAGGAGGCGAAACAGGTAAAGGAAGAGAAGAAGAGGAGGAAGATGTCTGGGGAGGGGCTGAAGACCCGGATGTCTTTCCTGCGGCCTGCCATTGCTGGTGTGTGTTCACAGTGTGTCTCGAGTGTCGTGAGGAGGCAGAGTGTGGAGCACTGCTCTATGCTGTGTGAAATACTTGACCTGTATGGAGGGACTCAGACCGCGACGTTGGTCTACAGAGACAACCAGATTGCCAGTTTGTTGGGGGAGAGTGGGGAGACCACTGGTAGCGGTAGAGGAGATGGTGCAGGGGGAGAAGAGGAAGTGAAGAAGGAGGACGGTGTGAGGGTGGTGGAAGGGGGGGAGAGAGAAGCTGGATCTATCACTGAGATCGTTGTTTGTCTCAGTGGTTGTCTCTTGAGAGCAATAGACTGGGAGTGTTATTAGTGGGCGGGACCCTCGGTTGATGGAGGGTGTGGCCAGTTCTGTTTTGCTTCTTCTACAAATGGCGGGAGTCTCCGTGGAGGCGTGTCAGCTACTCTGCACAAGATGGTGCAAGTAAGAATACCATTCACAGACCTGTTTCTCTAACACCATATATACTACAAGTCTAGAGAGATGCCCATAAAACTCTGTACATATTTTCCTGCACAAGTATATAAAACTCTGCTATTTTCAGATTTTGTATTATGGGTGCACTTTTTAAGTTTGCTTTTGCCTTTACAGGATCATCAAAGCATTCTACTATTGCTTCTAACAAAAGTAAGTTTTTGTAAATGTCATTTCTAAGTGTGATGTCTTCAGTGTATTCTAGTTGGGAGGAGGAGACCGAATGGGCAGAAAGGAGTGGGTCAGGGTATTGTTGCAGAGACACCAGTCGCTGCTGCTACGTTTGGTCAGGGAAGGAGGTGCGGGGAGAGATGGGGAGGGGAGGAGTGAGGGGAGAAGACACCTTCCTGTGGCGATTCCTAGACCTTTGCCTCACATCTACCGGTAAGTAAGTCTCAATAGCTTTCTGGTCATTGCATAACAAACATTACATCTCATTTTTGAGGTTCTTTTGAGGGCGAACAAGAGATGAAGAGAAGCGTGTTTGAGATAATTTCAAAGACCCTGCAGATTGCTCTACAGCCACCACAACTGCAGAGCGAAGAAGAGAAAGGTGTCAGACCAGAGAGGGAAGTAGGTCCACAACCTGCAATCATGAAGCTGCTGCAGACACTAGCAAGGACATCTGCTGATGTTGTAGAGGTGTGTGCCCGTGTTTCTGTTTAAATGACCATTGAATATCTGGCCACGATATGATTCCTATAGGACTATTTCACTTTCAGAAGTGACAACGGTTCTGCTTTGCTCTGCAGTATGCTCCATTGGTGCCTGGACCACTGCAGGCGTGAAGAAAGTTAGCTAGTAACACCTGCACACACACCAACAAGTCCTGCTAGGTATTCCCAAATGCGAATGCAATAGACATGCTGACTTACAGTACTTGACCTTATCTTCAGCCTTGTTAATCGGAGGTGATATGTGGTTGTTGTAGGTACGGGCTCAATCCTGGCAGCAGTGTTTCAGTGCTACTCTCACCTAGTCGCCCTCCTTCCAGAGCCTGCCAGCTATCTGGAGTCGTCTGCTGCCCTTCTCTCTTCTCTACTGCACAATGACCTGGACAGGTCTCTAGCTATATAATTAAGAATCTCTCAGCTAAATAACGATTCTTTTCCACACAGAGTGCTTGCAATGGCTGTGGCAGTGGATTTGCTACACTCTCCAGCTTTAAATTCTTACTGTACTTTTTGGAGCTTCTACCAGCCACTCAGACCACAGTCTCCTGCTCAAAAGGTAGTTAGCGACGCAGCTCTTAGCTGTTTATATAGCACGACGGGCATGCGCGGAAAATGTTGGTTTAGGAACCGGGAATTAACACTGCTTCCGCTAAGAGTACACAGACGCATGCGTGGATATACCGCGGAATTCCATGAATACTCTAAAGCGACCCTAAACCCACAACTGTTTCGGTCAAAGCTGGGTATATAATTCAGCAGCTTCGAGTGCGAGATAACTTACCTGGCACAGAGGATACCGTGATCAAGTAGGCGGTTCCTCCAGGTGGAGACTCGGCATTGCACTTAGCCTTGTTGAAGCTTGCGATCGCCCAAACTGGGTGACTCGGGTGCGAAATTTTTGGTAGGGGGGGACTGCGTTCGCGCATCCCCCGCATATTATTAACAAAAGTCAAACAATGCTGCCAGGTATGAAGTAGTTACTAAGGATGGATAGTAATGTGGGAAGGGGACTTAAAGCTGAGTGTCACTGGGAAGGGCATGCATTGTTTGGGGGGGAGTGTGAGAGTTAGGCTATTTGCAGTTTCAGAACGCCGTTTCAAGATGGGTATTATGAAGGTTTATGGGTAGGAGAAGAAGTAAGTTCATTGTAGTACATCTGAATGTTTCAAGATGGGTATAATTATGTGCACAGATTCATAGGTAGGACAATGTAGCTTTGCAAGAAGGAAAATGTAGGAGACAAGGAAAACAGAGAGGTTCAATGAAAAGAGTGAGGATGCGAGAAAATTCAGGATGGTCATGGTGTAGTGCAGTTGGTTGATTTGCAGAGTTAACGTCTGCCATATCTGTATTTCACAGAGGTATTGTCAAATTTCGAGGTGTGGTAGAATTCACAGAGTTAAGCGTAAACCTGGGTCACCAGCAAAAATGGTTTCTGTCAAATTTTCAGATGTGGTGGTGGGGGGTGCACTCTAATGTGTAAAGGCATTAGCAGTGTAGTGGCATGCTTGTGGTTTCACATAGTATTTTGCACACGACAGATACAGGAGGTGTGAATAGGAGGGCTCAAAACCACAACTGTTTCGGTCAAAGCTGGGTATATAAGTCAGCAGCTTCGAGAGCGAGATAACTTACCTGGCACAGAGGATACCGTGATCAAGTAGGCGGTTCCTCCAGGTGGAGACTCGGCATTGCACTTGGCCTTGTTGAAGCTTGCGATCGCCCAAACTGGGTGACTCGGGTGCGAAATTTTTGTTAGGGGGGGGACTGCGTTCGCGCATCCCCCCGCATTTTATGAACAAAAGTCAAACACTGCAGTTAGGAACGAAGTACGTAGAAGGGGGAGGTGTGAGGCGTTTGGCAAGGGTTGTAATGTGGATTTCAGGCCTAGAAAAGCCGAGCAGTAACTTGGGTGTGAGGATAAAAACCTGTGTGAGCCTGTTGTATTATCAGAATGAGAGGGTATATTACAGGCAGGAGAATGTAGCTTTGCAAGAAGGAAGATGTACATAGAAGACAACAGAGAGGTTCAATGAACAGATTGAGGATGCAAGAAAATTAAGGATGGTCATGGTGTAGTGCAGTTGGTTGATTTGCAGAGTTAATGTCTGCCATATCTGTATTTCACAGAGGTATTGTCAAATTTCGAGGTGTGGTAGAATTCACAGAGTTAAGCGTAGAGACGTGGGTAACCAAGTCATCAGAAAAAATGGTTTCTGTCAAATTTTCAGATGTGGTGGTGGGGAATAATGTGTAAAGGCATTAGCAGTGTTGTGGCATGCTTGTGGTTTCACATAGTATTTTGCACATGACAGATACAGGAGGTGTGAATAGGAACGCTCAAAACCACAACTGTTTCGGTCAAAGCTGGGTATATAAGTCAGCAGCTTCGAGAGCGAGATAACTTACCTGGCACAGAGGATACCGTGATCAAGTAGGCGGTTCCTCCAGGTGGAGACTCGGCATTGCACTTGGCCTTGTTGAAGCTTGCGATCGCCCAAACTGGGTGACTCGGGTGCACAATTTTTGGTAGGGGGGGACTGCGTTCGCGCATCCCCCGCATTACAAACCAAACATAAAAGAGGGGTACGGTTGTTTCACGTCATCATTTCTCTCTGCTGGTTACATGTTTGCTGTAGACTGGGTACCTGTCACTTGGTGCACTGGAGACCTACTGCTCCAACCAATCCTACTCCCCTCTCTTCACCGATCTCTCTGCCTCCAATGTCGTCACGACCCTCACGGGCTCCGGCCTCTCAGGTCTCTTCTTAGCCACTGCTCTCTGCAAGAGACCCACCCTTGCAAGTACACTGAGTTCTCTGGAGTTTGATGCCAGTCTTGGTGACATGATTTTGAACTCCGACGGAGCGCCAACCAATCTCAACATAGCTTTCCCGGACAGTGGTTCTCAGGAAGAGAAGGGGAGTTACTACCGTCTATGGAAGGCAACAGTCTGTGACCTGATGCTGGCTCTCTGTGCTCTGCAGCCTTCTAAAGCCAGTTCACAGTCACATACAGTTAGTCTGCACTGTATATATACACTGTTGTTCTGTACTCCTGCACTCTGTTTACTGAGGTCAGGACTTCCAATTTTTTTCTCTGCAAAGTGTTGTTGTTTGTAGGCCAATACTGAATCGTTTTAGTAGATTAAGGGAATTGGTATACACTAACAGGAAAAGAATGGGAGATAGTTTGTGTATACTTTTGTAAGAGAGACTCTGAGTCTCCCCCAAGCCCCTATCCTTATAGTATCATGTTATTCCTGTGTGTGTGTGTGTGTGTGTGTGTGTCAGGAGGAAGAGGTGGTGAGTGTGCTGACTTCAGCTCTACAGCAGTGTCTGGTGCTGGGCAGTAGAGACCACCATGAATGGAATACACAGATGCTTGACGCACTCATTGAAAGGTAAGAGCATCTCAGAACCTCTGACGCAGTACAGTTGAAGGCACATCGGTGCCCAGCTTTTGTTGTAGCACTTAATTATAAGTACTATACACTCATGCAAGTGGTTAGTGCTGGTCTGTTGCACAGAGCCTCAATGGAGGGTCCGCTGTGGTGTGAGGTGCTGAAGCAGTTCATATCTGTCCTAGAGTCCTCGGTGGACGAAGAAGATAGACTCACAGTTCTCCCCGACTTTATCAGGTCAGCGCTTGGCCTTGCTCCCGTGTCTCCTGCTACACGTCAATACATTGCACAGCGTTTTGATCACTGCACCTGAAGACAACTTTTCCCACTATAACTGCCTTCAAAGTGTCACACTGAACCAATGTTGTGCGAGCATTACCTTTTGATTGTATATACCAGGCCTTTCCCAGCTCTATTCTCACCACATGCCCAATGATCACACTGCGACATGTAGCAGGAAAGAAGCTAGACGGTTCCCACCACTCTATTTCTGTGGTGCTGGCTGTACTTGTGTTTGTGCTGTTGTGTTCAGTGTGGTACTGCGTGATATGGAGCCGGGGCTCGTGCTGGCTGCCATCAGCGGACTGAGCAATGAAGGAAAGAGAGAGGTGGAAGGTCGTCTGATGGCCTGCATCCGAGGCAGAGAAAGTGGTTAGTGTTCTTTTCCTGTTAGTGTATACCAATTCCTAGTCTTATCTTATCTATCTTATCTTATCTAGTAGTTTTATCTCTGGCTTCCCGTCAAAAACATGCATGTCACTAATGCTGTTGATTAGACTCAATGCCCTGGTTTTCGCAAACAATATGTTGGGGTCTAGGTATCAGGGGTTAAGTCATGCTTTTCAGGGACTCTTAGAATGATCCTCACCTTTCACCCTCCTCCCTCTCTCCTTCCCCCGACTCCTACCTGTCCCTCTTCCCCACCCCTCTCTCCCTCTCTCCCTCTCCCAGATCTATGTCTGTTGTGTGCATGTCTCCACCTGCTACCAAAGTTCCGTTCAGACCTTCTGTCTCTGGCCAGAGGCGGACTCTCTTCCGTTGCCTCGCAACACAGCAGCTCTGAGATCAACCTTTTTGATTCGTGAGTATCATAGAGGAAAAGGGAAAACTGTTTGTGATACAACTGTCTTAAGATACCGGAGCTTCTGAAAAGCCAGTTACCTCGCTGGAAACTCTTTGTACAAAAATGTTCCGTTAAAAAATTTTTTGACTGCCTTTTTTTGTAGATACATAGCTGTAGAAATAGTCCCAAACCAAAGACATGCGCAGTAAAGTTCCACAGATTGTCCCTCACTGAAAGTTACCTTCATGGGATGAAAGACTGTGTGCCAATGTTTTTTTTCACAGCCTGGGCGAGAGTGTGCAGGATCCTATGGTGTACAGTCTGCTGGACCTCATCTCACTGCTGTGTGCTGATCAGACGGTACCCAGTGATGCCTGGGACTTTATTCTCTGTGCACTCGTCACCATCACACATGTACGTCAACTGTTCCGCCAACTTTTGTCTATTCTCTAGCCCCATGTACAATTCTTGCCTGATTTGACACGCTAAACCCTGTCATTTGATATTTTCGTTAATTCCGCATGTATATACAGTGTGCTAAAATGCAGGAACCTTGTAAGTACCTAACTTTTGTACTTGATATGTCGTGGTGGTGTTTTTGTATGTGTCTAGCTGGTGTCAGAGGCCACACCCTCCCAAAGGAACTCTGTTAACTACACCGTGTTCTACTGTAAGGCCATGGCGGCCTGTCACGATGTGGCGTCCGTCCTCACCTCTCCCAGCTCCCCCGACCAGCAGGCCGGCGACTGGAAGGAGTTCTTTGCTCCTGACATCAACTCCTGCCTTCTCCCTGCCTTCCTCAACCGTGCAAGTCAGTACATGAGAATATGATGTGCCGTATGCATTGGGCTCGTGGCATTATTGCCAATGTTTGCTCATATACGTAGTCATTGAGCTCTACTCACAGCATTAAAACAATACCTTTTACTGCAAGTTTAACTCTTGCAGTGACTCTCCTGTATTACATGTGCTATATATTATGGCAATCCAAATTGTACAGTTTTTTATGGTCTTCTTTGCTGTCTGTGTGTGTAGCTCAGACCACTCCAGACTCCCTCCCATCCCACTGCGACGTACTCCAGAGCTACCATCTCTCTCGCACGGCGGCTGAGGTCTGCTCGTCGCCAACGGAGGGAGTGTCGCTAGAGTTTCTCGTCGACATCTTCTTCTCCCCCCTCAACCCCTTCAGAATCACCGCCTTCCTTCTGGCCCAGAGGTGGGTATTATGACAGGTCCACAATATTTGATTTCTCAATGCGACCTGTGTCATTCCTATGTACCAAGTACTAGCGATAGTAACCCCTTTGAGCATCTGTGTCAGGTGCCGTTGGAACAAATCGCAGCTTGACGAAAGATTGAATTCCGTTTCTGTTTCATTGTGTCGTTGTGTCGCAATGCAAGCTACCAGAAGCACGGAGAGTATCTGCAGTAGTAGTGTTGTTTTGACCTGTGTGACCCCTACTGTTTTTCTCTCTCCCTTACCTCAGATTGGTGTCAGTTTTGCAGTTCACTGTTGAAGGCTCTACCAGTAGTACAGAGAAAGCGAAAGATACCACAAAGACCATTACGTACGTGAGACCTTATGTGTAGAGTACCCATTATGTCTCTATAGTAAGAAATCCTCCTTCATTGGCCATCTTTTTCTCTCACAACAGAGTACCTGAAATACGAAGTCTACTGAGTGCAGCGATGGGGAGAGTGAACCTTGACCTCACGTTCCGGAGAGAGCTGGTGGAGGATGCTAGTGAGGACCCCACCACTCCATACCTCCTCCTCTGTCTCCTACTCATCCAGATCATGAGCCAATCTGGACCTGAGGTCAGGCAAGCAATGCCTATATAGCTGGCTAAATTGTACACTTGACACAAAAATGTCACATAGAGAAGTCTCAAAAATCACACTATAGATCGACTTTCTAACATTTAAGTGTGCCGAGCAAGGGATTTTTGAGCACCTAACCAGCAAATAAACAAACAACAGCTTGAGGAAAATGCCAACATTCAGTATTCTTCTGTGCAACTTGCTAAAGACTGTTTCTCACTCTCATGTGATAGCCCCCTCCTTCCACCTCTGTCTGTCTGTAGGCGAGAGCGTCACTGGGGGAGTGGGTGAAGGAACAATCTCTCGTCCCCCGCCTCCTCAACGGGCTGTTCACCGTACTGTCTGACACCACATCCTCTGCTCCGCTCAAGACCACGATAGAGGGTTAGACATGTCTTCCTTCTCCCTACATCTCATCCCTACTGACCCACTTGACCTCCTTACAATACAATTTCTTGAATACTCAAAACCCTCTTTCTTTACACACTTCTTCCTCTAGCTCTCATTTCTTTGTTACTACACTCTTACTCCAAGACACCCCAGTCACCTCCATTGCTTACTTGCTTGGTTACACTCCAATCTTACTCACCCACACATCTTTCCCTCCATCTTAGCTCCCTATCTCTCTTCTCCCTCTCCCTCAGTTACTCTGGAGCCAGATCTACCGACACTGTGCACAGTGGTCTACAGTGCGCTAGCTCGCCATCTTCCCTCAATGCTCAGACAGTGGTACCTCTCAGTGGACCGATTTACCAGCTCAACTGTCACTGGGTAAGTGTGATTCAAGTTTTGCTTTAATCAAGAACATAGATGTCGCAAACATGAACTGGGACACACAAAATATTTTTTCTCGGGATTTGGAGAACGCTCCCCCCTAAAAACTTCTATTTGGCACAAAGCTCCACAAATTCATTTGTTTCCTCGTCCTTATTTCTTCAGGTTTACGACAAAGTATGTGAGTCCTGCTCTTCAGCAGACAGAGCTGGAGGCAGTCGGCAAGACAACCACAACCCATGGCAACATGGAGGTATAATATAACACCATGACACCTTGACCCTTGTTGACCTTGTGCCTTTACTTCTTTCACAAGAGGCATGCCTTATATACACTAACCCTCACTCTTGAAAAAGACACAAATTTCCATGCCTCATATATCCATACGTGGGTCTTTACTCTGTGGACTTGTGAATATATGCCTCAGGTTCTAACATACACTTGTTCTGCTAACAGATAGTTTGTAGGCGTAATACATACATACCTTTACTCTGTGGACTTGTGAATATACGCCTCAGGTTCGAGCGTCCACTAGTGTGTCAGAGGTGTCGGTTGTCTATCGTCTCCATGAGTTCAGCATCGAGCTGTTTGTGAGGCTGCCGGCAAACTACCCCCTCCAGCCGCCGTCCATCAGGGAGGGGAAGAGGGTTAAAGTCGAGGTCAGCCAGTGGAGAAAATGGATGCTCCAACTCAATGTCTTCATAGCTAACCAGGTCAGTTGGCTCCCACACCGAGGGTTTGCACTTCAGTGACAAAAGTCCGGGATAACAGTGAATTGTAATACAGTAGTGCGCCGAGGGTTTGCACTTAAGTGTGTTTCATTGAGCTAGGCAATAACAAGCACTAATCATGCAACCTCAATCATATCACCTTGTGACTGTAGGTCTAACGGTTCACTCCAATGCAATGCCTTGTATAAGACAATACTTTGTGTTAATCGCTCTCTCTCTCTCTCTAGAATGGTACACTGATGGATGGGCTGCTGCTGTGGAAGAGCAATCTGGACAAGCATTTCTCAGGGATCGAGGACTGCATGATCTGTTTCTCTGTCATCCACGGCTCCCTCTACTCCCTGCCCAAGATGACCTGTCGCACGTGCAAAGAAAAGGTTCCACTCGGCATGTCTGGTAAGTGGAACAGTGAATTTGTCTTCTTGCCTCTACGTACAAATGTAGCAGTGATGCCACACAAGTCTTCCTTGCCCCTACGTACTTTTGATGTAACCAAGAATTTCACGTGTGCCATGCATTCTGGTTGACTGCATATGCAAATCACAATGATTCACAAAATAATTATGTGCAACATCAGCTCTATGTCGTGCCATTAATATTGTCTCTCTTTGGTTACAGTACAAGTGGTTCAGTACAAGCAACAAGAGCAGTTGTCCGCTGTGTAGGAACATATTCTGAGACCTCAATCACTCTTTCTGCTATTTATTATTTATCCATTATCTCTGTATACGGGTGTAATCATCACCATTCATCTTTGGACATTTTTCTGCATTTGATTTTGGTGTTTACCGTTTACACTGCTCAGGACCGCTCGACAATTTTCTGCATGTGCCACTCGCGCTTTTTCTGGGGAACATAAACCACCTATATACAGCATCGAAAGATGTTGCCTTATTTTGCAAGAGTATATAGTTTTGCAGTTAACAACTGACTTTGTGTCCACCACAATCACTTATCTGTGCATTTAATGAGATACGCATAATAGAGAATTTAGTGAGATAGGCATAATAGAGAGATGGGCATAATAGAGAAAGAAAGAGATGTTGCACCATCTGGATATGGATTGTACATATTAATTATGATTGCCCAAATACTTGCAAGACTATTAACTGAATTTCTGTGTCCCCAATAAATCCTTGCATGTCAATGATTGTGACTATAAAAAACAGGAGGGTATAATAAGAGAGAGATGTCGCTATCTATCTATATACTGGTGTCTAAGTGACTGAGAATGCCCTGAACCAGACTAATGTCCTCCTGAGCCCTCCACTGTCTCTGTAGTTCATGGGCCAGTGTCCTCACCTGCGGGGCTTCGTCGGGGAGACAGTGCTCGGCTAGCTTTAGGACACTCTCGAAACTCTCTCGCTGGTTGGTGGAGTGACACAACTGCAGATAGAGGGAGCAATCCACACACACAAACACTACCAATAGCAAAGTATAATATTCAACGCAGACCTAAAAATATCAGTGACTCCAACATTGCAAATTAACGGGAATCGACTCAGTATAGGACACATAGGATTGGAGGTAGTGGCTACACAATAGAGTATCAGCATAACAGACTAACATCCCTCGGAGCAAAAGCTAAACTATACAGCAAGAACTCGTGACAATATACCTCCAGAAGCAGAGTGAAAGTCTGTACGTCAGGCTCCACTGAGCAGTCACTGAGAGCTGACAGGAACACCAGCCCCCTCTCTGCATCCCCACACACCACGCAACACCTAATAAACTTGTTCACCAGCTCCACATCCGGCCGAACTCGCGGCCACTCCTTCATCAGACTCCGCCACAGGTAATAGGCCGCCTTCTTCGTGTTCTTCACCGACCCCTCGGCCAGCGTACCGTCAAGGAGAAGATGAAACGTCTGCAGATCTGGGTCCACGTGAGACGACGTCATGTCGTTGTATGTGGTGTAGTGTGCTCCCACGGCCGGTATCGCTACCACTGCCTTCAGGACCAGGTTGAAGGCCTCAGTACTGTTGAGTACTCCCCATGTATCCATTGACTGTGAGTGGATGAATAATTGCATTGTTAGGCTAGCAAATAAAGTACATAACGTGTGTTTATTATTCTTGGGCATGTATGTTCACATTCCAGCAGGCTTTCTGTGAGCATAACACAAACACCATAAAGTAGGAAAGCCTGTGCCTTTCCAAGAAATCTGACAGAGCATTAGAGATTCAGTGAAAGCTCAATAGTGGCAAAGTTCTGATACCAGAAGCTTCCTACAAACAAGCTTCACACTTGGGAAAGCTATGCTTTTCCAAGAAGTCTGACAACAGAAAGCAGAAGAGACAACAAGGAGTAGTTGTCAAAAGCCTTTTCCCCAAAAGTTTCCCTATCTTGGAGGCTCCAACATACTAAGAAGGAAGAAAGCCTTGTTTCACTCCCTTGGAAGTGGAATGCAGGTTCTGCAAAACACACTTGAGAACTGCACACAGCTTCTGCTCACATTCTTGATGGCTCTAATGCAGTTGAGAGCCTCCTTCTGTCTGGAGATGTTGTCGTGGCAGTGGTAGCGAATGGCTAGGAGGTCCCCGTAGTTACTCAGGTCCAGCTCCAGCTGATAGTGGTGGCGATGGGCCCTCACCATGTGAATCACCTGGGGAAATAATGATTTTTACACATCTCGTGCAGAGATTTATGCTGGCATGCCTTTTTACGCATGTCATAATATTTGCACCACATCTTACGCTTACTTAAAGTGTTTTTCAGTGACTTGTGTGTATCAAGGCACAACTAGAATAGGTAAATGTACCATTAGACAATACGAATCCTTTTCACATACCACTGTTTTTGATGATGTTGACAACACAGTGCCCCCTTTCAACTATTACGTATTACAGAAATCAGTTTTCCACTTATCACTTATCTATTGCTTATTTATATTGTAGAAGAGTGCATACTTTTTAAGTAGCCACATACATGCACGTTCCTCAAAGGCCCCAGAAGAAATAGAATGGACTTGCCTTGAGAGCCTGATTAGGAGAGACAGTGCCACAGTTGTGGGCCCAGCTGGTGAGGAATGAGGCCGGGACAACCTGCCCCGTAGCCCTGCACTGTTTAATGACTGCGTCCGCCCAGGCCAGAGCTGGACTGTGGTGGCAGCTCAGGAGTACAAGAGCCTGAGGAAAACATACCCCACGTTAACACTTTGTGTAGCTAGTATGGCATGCCATTTGTTCCAGAATATTCCGCGTATTCTATAATCTTATGACATTCATTTGATGTTTGAAAACAAACATCAAATGACTGCTTCAGCTAGTCTTGGGTCTAGCTGAACTTCGTATTGGAGCTTGGTTGTTGTGTAAAAAGAAATACACCAAAGATTCAGGCATGCACACCTTAACCTCTTCCTTGCTTGAAACCTCATGTCATACCCACACAAACTGATTTCTAAGGCCATGTATGGGAATATACCTGGTACATGTCAGGGGTGGGGTAGGTATCTGTGGTGGAGCAGTTCCTGGAAGAAGTTCCTCTCCAGAAAGCTTCTTAGCTGCCCACTAGCACCCTCTTCACTGCAATAACAGGCAACACTAAATTTTCCTTACTTCAGAGCACATCACTGTGGTTGCTACACCACTCTTCCCAGCATGCAGTAGTCTGGTGCCCAGACCACACCCACTCAGACCCCACCCACTCATCACGTACATAGAAGAGGGTCTGTTAATCGACGCATTTCTTGATCTCAGTGAAATCGAGATCTCCAACCAGATTGCAGAACGGCCAATCGTTACATGTCTGCAGACTTTGGTAGGCAGAACCTCATGCACCACTATACTAAAAGAGGGGTTGGAATACGCATGACTTTTAGGACCGGATTTCACATCAGATGACATCATCTTTCCCTTCTGGATGAAGTTGCTGGGTACGAGACTAAGCATAGCATGCAGTTGTTTCTGTTAAGTAGCCTGTATATGCTTACAGCATGCAGTTGTTTCTGTTAAGTAGCCTTTATATGCTTACAGCATGCAGTTGTTTCTGTTAAGTAGCCTGTATATGCTTACAGCATGCAGTTGTTTCTGTTAAGTAGCCTGATATGCATTACGCATGCATTGTTTTGTATAGCCTGTATACTATAGCAGCATGCAGTTGTTTGTGTTAGGTAGCCTGTTTATACATATGAAGGTACAGCATGCAGTTGTTTGTGTTAGGTAGCCTACAGCATGCAGTTGACTCACACATTCGTGGTGTCCCTGTGGGCAAAGGCCTGAAGGTAGGAGGCAGCAGTGATGGCCCTACAGTGGTAGGAGGTGTGGTGGGAGAGACAGGTGGGAGACGACAAGATGGCCTCGTCGCCCGGCTGTGTCGGAGGACAGACGATGGAAAATCTCCAATCTCCAAACACATTCACAGTATTGATATTGTATACATACAGTATATACCTGTGCAGTTGACTTGTTCCAGAATAATGAGCATGCCTGCATGCATGGAGAGGAGATATAATGTACATACGCTACTATACACTGAGATTCAGATTGAGGGTGGGAATGAAGGGGTTAATTAATGAGCATGTAAACGCTGGCACGGGAGTGGGCAAGGGGTGATGGTAGCTGATACTGTAAGGGCACAATAAACAGTGGAGTATTTTGCACAAGTTCACAACATGCAAGGAGAAAAAAAATTGTGAGTGCATTGTTTGGGCATTAGGCGCAAGTTTTAAAAAAATCCACACTTTTGCCTCCTGATATGTATGGCACTTACTTCAGCAGCTAGAGTGTAGTTTTCATCTCCCTGTGCACTCTCCAGTAGCAGGGCCAGGCTCTTCACGGGAATGTGGTGATTACGTGACCTGAATCGCGGGTGAATATGCCACCTTCTGACCTTGTGTGTGACAGACACTAGCAGGGGACAGTACCTGAGGCCTTTCAAAATCTCCAGAGCTCTAGCTTGCCGTCCTGCAAGGCACCAGGCATTGGCCATGGCAGTCTGCACCTCAGGAAACACACTGTCTCCACATACCTGCAGATAATATCAAATTTTCACAGAATTCCTCAGGATTTCCAATTCGGTGTCATATTGCGACCATTGAAGAGACTAGTATTGATTACAGCAGTGACAGACTAGTATTGATTACAGCAGTGACAGACTAGTATTGATTACAGCAGTGACAGACTAGTATTGATTACAGCAGTGACAGACTAGTATTGATTACAGCAGTGACAGACTAGTATTGATTACAGCAGTGACAGACTAGTATTGATTACAGCAGTGACAGACTAGTATTGATTACAGCAGTGACAGACTAGTATTGATTACAGCAGTGACAGACTAGTATTGATTACAGCAAAAAAAACTCACTCTCTCGACAAGTTCTTCTATTTCCGTCTCCCTCCCCAGCCTCCCCAGAGTCTCCAGTTGAACCGTGAGCAGTGGGATGTGGTGAGAGTGTGGAGAGGGGGACGAGGGAGAGTGGGAGGAGGGAGAGGGGAAGAGGGAACACACATCCAGTGCGGCCTGGAGGTGGGCAATGTCTGCCAGTAGATCAGCACACTCAGCCAGAAATGATGGATCCTCCTATTTGGGTGCAAAATATATAGAAAAAAAATCGACACTAGGTAAGAATTTCACTATTAAACACTAAGGCATAGATCCAGAACTATACCTTGAGATGGGAGGACTTGACAAACTTGACACCATCTCGGACATGTCCCTCCTTTGCCACACAGCCCAAATAGTGCAGCGAGCAACTGCAGCGGTTTTGGGGGAAAATGCGAGGTGTCACATAGCCAATTCTCCACTCGGCACTGCTAGATGGTCTTCCCCTCACCAAACCAATCAGTGTCAGCGAAATAACCTTCCTTGCTGTGCTAAGCACCGACTGATACAGTAGAATTTACAGAGAATTTCTCTGCAAACTGGCAGGCTCAGTGGCACTCAGTGGCACTCAGACACGTGGCGTGCACATGCTCCATTGTCACCATTTACTTCACAACGCTACACTGGCTCAACCATTTAACACCCAGGTAAAACTGTAGGTTTCTGGATGCCTTTTTCTAAATATGGGGGAAGGCTAGGGAGATTCAAATCATGTTTTGACACAGATAGCAAACACTGTAGCAGGAAATTAGAATTCCTGTCGGGTTGCCGTGGCTTGCACGGCAACTGGAACATGAAAAACCAGTGTAGAGGTGGGCCATTAGAGAAGAAACGTGACTAGGAAGATCTGAATTACAGCTGACACGGAAACCCTATAACAGTGCAGTACTTACACATTTCATAGGAAAGATGACTACGGAGACACTGTGAATGTTAATTAGATTCTCTGCAATGACACACTGATACTACATATATAAGAAAACTGCAGACAGGATAGGAAATATGACTATGGAGATCCCAATACAACCACACTGAAACTGTAGCATATACAACCTCACTGAAACTGTAGCATATACAGTACACAGCAATATTTGTAAGTGTATGTCCATAGTCCAGTTGTAGGAACCTAGGAAATTGTGCAGAGCCAAGGATTCCTACCAACATTGAGGTTTTACTTTGTGAACAAGTGGCTCCAAGTGTACTTGACAGATTTGCTGCGGGAACAACTAATGCAGTTGCTTGCTTGCTCAAAAACACACGCCTGACCCTCCCTGTGTTGCTTATAGGTGATGTGTAATACCTGTGATCCATACTCCATCCCTGACTCTCCATGTCTTCCTTCACACTCTGCACGGCTTCGACTCCACCCACCTGGGCCGCCATCTTCATCACACTAGTGTAGAGGGCGGAGTCTGCCACACCCTCCTCCTTGGCTCTCTCCCATTCGTCCACTGCCTCACAGTAGCGACCTTGACTGAAGAGAACAGACTCAGTACTATAGCAACCTTGTCCAGATATTTCAGGTGTGTCCTTGTATATGTACTAGAGCTCCCGATTATGTGTATCAAAATACACCTACCTGACTAGCTCATGAAGGTTGACATGGTCCCCAGACACTGAGTGACTCAGAGCTGCTGCAATAAGTGCTCCCTGTGAAGCTACTGTAATGATATCCTCGTGACTTACCCGATATCGTGAACCTGCAGCGAGACCGCCTCGCCACGTATCTCCAGTGGGACGGCCTGGCTACAGACAGTAGAGCCGGTCCCACTCTGTCTTGGCCTAGTACTCGAAGGAGACGCAGACTGGCCATATCTGAGACACAAGGCCAAAACTAAGATATTTCCAATTAATGCGCACCAGTCCCGTTCTAATTAACGCGCAAGGTCCCACGTGGGTTCAGTGGAAGAGGAGAGCCTAAGGCCGAGATAAGGGAATGACGAAGGTTCTGAAGTACGAAGGATGTAACTTCTTTCGCCAGCGACTGGTCCTGGCCACCCTCAGCTCGAGACCAGTTCAGATCAGCGAGATACGGTCGGACGCCGACGAGCCCGGCCTGAGAGGCAAGAACCTAGCCTCGAGTACTAGTACAGTTAACTTACGACGCATGCTTTGCAGAGTTCGAAGCAGGTTTCATTCGCCTTCTCGACAAGCTTACCAATGGCTCCACAATACAAGTCAATGAAACAGGTATCCCACACTGTCCTTTGTCTCAACAAAAAAAAGCAGAATACTTTGGTGCAGAGTTACTTGTCTGACTGTGTGCTGCAGGTACTACCCTTGTTCTACAGACCAGGTCTGCTGGTGGGTGGGACGCTGGAACATGACTGCTCTCTGCAGCGGTCCATCGGCTACTTCCTGGAACCCCTCGTTCTCCTGGCCCCCTTCGCTAAGAAACCAATCAAAGTCACCCTCCGAGGGAACACCAACAGCTCTAATGACCCTTCAGTAAGTTTTTTTGGAGAGTTTAGAATGATGTAGACCTCTCTATGTGTGGATATATATACTCTGAATGTAGGTGGACTATTATCGAGTGTGTGTTGTCCCTCTTCTGAAACGCTTTCTTCCTGACAACAACCTTCATCTAAAGGTTAGTTTGAGCACACTACAGAACAGACAACTTTTCAGCACTACTAAAGGCAAAAACACATAGTTGCTGCGAAAAAGTGGCCTTTAGTTTCTCTTTTGTTTGGGTACACAGTATTTTGGCTTGATTCACACTGAATTATGAAGCAGCTTAATATATATATTTTTTATATGTGCTCTGTCACTGCTGTCTGCTGTGTGTGTCACAGATACTGACTCGCGGTGTCTCGCCTGGAGGAGGGGGAGAGGTGGAGTTCTCTTGTCCGGTGGTGAGGAGGATGAGACCTGTACAGATGACGGACTGTGGGAAGGTTCGACGGATCAGAGGAGTTGCGTATCCACCCTCCACTACTACTACTGCTACTAACTTCTCCCCTCCCACTTAACCTTAGTCTGTGTGTTCAGTGTACAAGTGCTGAAGGTCATACAGACAGAGTGTAAAGTGCCCAGGGAGGGAATTATCTGTACACTATCCAGGGATTCCCGTATGTTCACTTTAGCTGCAAACTCAACAAGTATCAATGAGTGTTACAGTTAGTGCACGTGCACGGCGTCCGTATACTGTATAATAATACCTGTATGTTGTGGATATCGTTGCTTGTGTACAACTATGCATAACTCTGCCTATACTTTCATGATCAACTTTTTGGCAAACTGGGGTGAGTCCCAGCTGGGAGACAGTCATTGTCCTAAGTTAGTTTGCTGGTATGTCTATGTGTAATGGTGATTGATATTAGGAATCCCCTTTCCTTTAATTGAGGGAGATACCTCTTATTAAATTCCCCACCATTTGTGTATGAATCCTTGACTGAGTGTTGTCCAGCTACTGTTCTCGAGTGAGTCCGTCTGTGGCCAACAGAATGGTGGACTCTGCCCGCTCCATCCTCAACAGCTACCTTCCCGACGTCTACATATACACAGACGTAGCTCGGGGAGCGGGGAAAGACAGGTAGATATATTATAACACTACACAAATACATATCGATGTGCCTATCAAGTAAGGTTTTGCACATTTAGACAACATAGAATATGAATGCAGAATTTCCAGTGGTGTCATAATCACATGAGCATGTGATGCCACCTTCCAGGAAGTTGATAGCTTACCCCAGAAATTTGATCTGTTTCCTGTTACACTGTGGTTAACCTCGGTGCATGCACAGCTAGGGCTTGGTCTGTCTGTCTGTCTGTGTGTGTGTCTGTCTGTTACCACGTTTTCTGCCACCACTCGCAACAAACAGGCCAAAAAGCGACACCAACGGTTTCAGCACTACACTGGCTTCATTTTATAAATGGTGATTTTCGTATAACAACTGCGTTCAAAAGTTATGGCGTGAAAAGAAAGTGAACAAGCCAATATGCAAATTAGCGTAGGCTTACCTCGACCGCGTCCGCTCGCTCTGTGTATCTTGAAGGCACGAGAAGTCACAACGAAGGGCGTGTATCGACTTCCGCATGCTATCTACTACTGTAGCTAGCCCGTGTCAGACTCTCCGCGAGCTAGCTACTATATAGCAGGAGACCACGAGTAAATGCATACTAATAGCCCAGCCCATCATTGAGCGGTACCGCGCATGCGGTTTCCCGAGGGTTTGCACTTTAGTACTTTTCATTCATTTAGCTACAGGTAAATCTACTTCCTGCTCAGTTGCATCAGCTTAGTCTTTCAAAGGTAGCTCAAGGAAGGGTCTAAGTTCAGTGTCTTTTATACCATATTAATCTTGCACTAATGGCTATTTTTAGTCTAACTATTTTTATGAAAACATTACCTCATGGTTTACGGGCAGCTAGACTGGGATTGATAGAAGTTTAGTCTAGTCACATGCCTTGAATTATGTGATGAATATCCATCAATTACCTTATAGTTTACTTGCAGCCAGACAGTTAATGTATTGACACTAGTCTAGTCTAGACGAGTCAGCCACACACACACACACACACACTCTTGCATGAATGTGTCTTGACGTCAAAGGAAGAGCTGAGGCTCATGATTTCATATCCTTCCTGTAGTATATAGTAGTCACATGGCCTTCCAGCATGTAATGCAGCACCGCCCCACCTAGCCCTGGAATTTGATTCATTCTCATATTGCAGTAATGGATCAACAAAATAATGAATACAAGAACATAGTATTACCCCAGTCCATAAACAGGATGTAATAATAGGTGGAAATATTGTTCATGAAATGTGATGAGTCAGCACACACATGCAAGAATGCGCTCTTCCCATTGCTTGACCTCAAATCAAGAGTTTTTGCTGAGAAGGCTCATGATTTCATATCCTTTCAACAGTTCCGTTTTCTCAGCTCACTGTCTATTTCATAAGCTCACATGTATATACAGCGTACTGTCAGCTAGTCTATATACTTACATAGATGTTAATGTGCCACTGTAGGAGTCCAGGCTATGGACTTACTCTGTCTTCCACTGTAGGAGTCCAGGCTATGGACTGACTTTAGTGTCAGAGACTACCACTGGAGTGCTGCACTCTGCAGAGCTCTTCTCAAACCAGCCCCTTGCTCAGGGGTCAGAGGGGTCAAGAGAGCCACACCCACCCAGTCTCCCCGAAGACATTGGGAGACAAACAGCTCTCCTCTTAATACAGGAAATTGTGAATGTAAATATTTACTACATTGACATAATGTATGGACCAAATGTGGCTTACTTGCTGTATAGGGGTTGTCAAACAATCTACATACCTATGCTCAATGTAATTTTGTCTCATATTTTTGTGGGAAAGTGTAAAGCAACCTACACTGCGAAATCTTATTTTGCTGCCAAATTATGAAAGAGAGTGTTCCCCACTGTGTACTGTGTCTGCTCCCCACTGTCTGGTGCAGATCACGACAGATTTATCCTTCTGAGGTTTCCCACTGTTAAACTCTGTCTTCTCCCCACTCTGACATCATACAGGGAGGCTACGTTGACTCAGGATCTCAGGTGATGGCTCTGCTGTTCATGGCTCTTGGCCAGAGAGATGTCTCCAAAGTTCAGCTGGGAGAGCTCACCCCTTACACGTATGTGTGTGTGGACGAAATAGGATTCAGCTACAGTGGAACCCCTCTAATCCGAACACTAGTACAGAAGAAGTGTCCATATTTGTGGGGTGTTCTACCTTGAGTGCACACAAGAACTGTCCGTGGGGAATGAAAATATGTCCTTATTAGGCAGATGTTCTCGTACATCAGAGGTGCCAGAGAGGGGTTCAACTTGTGTCTTACCATAATATTTGAGTACTCTTAACTATACACATGCATTGAATGCCACTCTGCCTATTTTAATCCCCCTTTCTGAGAATGCAGCATACTAGGACAACACCTACCCACCAATAGCCAAGGATTCTAAGTTGAACTTACCAATTTAGGTGAACCAATCAACATACCAATCAATGTAGCAGGAAGTCTTTGTCAGTGGTGATGTTTATGTCATGCATATTAGTGTAGTAAGTGCTGTCTATTATGCATGCGTAAACAAGGGAAGGTCTGGTTTACGAGGCTATAAGGTTACATGACGTAACTGTATTACTCCAGGATGCAGTTTCTACGTCACATGAGGGACTTCTTCAATCTGATGTATAAGATAGTGGCGAAAGAAGAGGAGATGAGCCAGACAGAGGGTGATGGGAGAGAGGAGGAGGAGGAGGAGAAGGATGATAGAGATGATGAGTACATTGTTAGACAGCTAGTCACCTTGTCTTGTGTTGGTGTAGGGTTTTCCAATGTCAGTAAGGGGATTATGTGACGTATTATGTGTATTCACCGCAAACTACATGTATAACACTCGATCGGCGCCGCGTCACGGGGCGTCGACGTCCTTTAATTAATTATACACGCGACCGATTCCCGACTCGGCATCGGCATGCGCAGGGGATTCCCTCAGAACATCACACGACTTGAAAAGTCCGTGGAGATGGAGTCCTTTACAGAATTGTCGGAGTTTCGGAAAACAAAGTCTGCGCTAGTGAACTGTCCGGAAAACTTGCACAAGTATAACGGAGAAGTGTACGGATTGCCGGCAGCGGAGCAAGCCCTACACCGCCCTCGTATGCAGAGACATCGTACTACAACAAGACGAAAGTTTGAGCCGCCCGATCTGCCTCCTCCGTTTCAGTGGTGAACATGAAATCTGTACCATTGTGTCTGATGCTGGTTCTTGCGGGAGTCTGCCCTCTCAGAAGTTACGCGGAAACATCCAGCACGTTATACGGTGAGTTTTACCGTCACTACCCGCGCGCGGGACCCGTCGGCTGAGTGTGCGGCGTGACGCACTTTCTGTTAGCTAGCACTTGTTGACCACGAGCTAGGTCCCGCCATCCACGGTGTCCCCACCACTGCACGAACCAACCCCGCCCTTCCTTTATCGTAGCCGTGCATGTGGTGTGTTATGTTGTACGATCGAGTAGGCTACAACGACGAGCAAAACACATCATTCTGTTGGTATTTTCCATACTCCAGGTACACTGCACGTGGTGAATGACAACACAACCACTTCCCAACTCTACAATTACACTGGTGTAACTGGAAACCGCACTACCTCTCCACTGTCCGAACCCTTTCCCCAAGACTGCACCACGTGTCTCCCAGGATATCCAACCGAACACTGCGACTATGAAAAAGGCTACTGCGTCAGGCTGTCAGACGGCAAATATGCAATAGTTGGTATAAATGGATCCTTCCTGTACAACAGTCCACAGCAACTGAACACTCCGTGTACCCCACTGTACCTCCATAGGCTGGAAGACGAATCGTACGCAATCATCTGTCTCGAATCTTCCTTTGACGTCCTGCGCTTCAAAGATGACGGTAACCCCGAACTCGATGGCCTTTCAAGTGGCGACGTTGGAGCAGGTGGAATCCTTGTAGAAGTTGTTGGCCATAATAACAATCATCGACAAGCTAACCTATATCAGGTGGGACTAGAACCTGGCTACATTTCAACACGTGAGGTTAAACAGGGTTTAGGTGGTTTTATTGCTATCCCCAAGAGCTGCATAGCAGACTCAGTCTCGTTTCGCCCAACTTTCTCTCTGACAGGACTCTTCTTTCTTCAGTGCACAACAAACAGCAACGACCAAGCTTATTTCTTGTACTTGGTGACAAGCCACAATTTCCAGAGGCTTGATCTGTGTGCCAACCCTCTCCCTTCTCCCCCTGATTCTACCGGTGGCGATACGTTTACCACAGCATGTGGTGACACCCTGACAGTCTACAACACTAACGACGTTTCTCAATACCGCTCTCTATCGTTTGACGGCAGTATTACCTCGGAGTCCACTCTGGATAGAAACACCCGGCTAATCCACGCAGGGAATTCGCAACATCTAGTTAGTTTGGATAGGTTTTTGAAGGACAACGGCTCAAGTGCGGCAGTGACGTTAGAAAGCACTCCCAACTGCTCGATTAGTAAGCTCATAGCTCCAGATGTATATGCCACGGCCTGCCAGAGCGACTCATTCTATGTCATAAGATTGGACAATGTATCCAGTG